CAACCAGTCACAGTAGCAATGTGGACAAGTCTCCCATGTCACAGACTGACTCTGATCCTACCACAGGTAACAAGTCCTTCAGATGTGACACTTGTGGGAAAGATTTTAAGTTTAAGTCCATATTGAACCGACATTTGAGGAGCCACACAGGTGAGAAGCCGTATTCTTGTGAAACATGTGGGAAGAGTTTTTCTTATAGTAGTAACTTGTTTGAGCATTTGAGGATCCACAGAGGTGAGAAGCCATTTGTTTGTGAAACATGTGGGTGGAGTTTCATACGAAGAGGTAGCTTGCATGTCCACATGAGAATCCACACAGGTGAGAAGCCATATTCTTGTAAAATGTGCCAGAAGAGTTTCACACGGAGAGATCACATGCGTACCCACATGAGAATCCACATAGGTGAGAAGCCGTATTTTTGCAAAACATGTGGGAAGCGTTTCAGACAAAGAGGTGGCTTGCAGCTCCACATGAGAATCCACACAGGTGAGAAGCCATATGTTTGCAAAACATGTGGGAGGAGTTTCACTCGTTGTGATGTCTTGTCAGCACATATGAGAATCCACACAGGTGAGAAGCCGTATGTTTGCCACACCTGTGGGACAGGATTCAGCCAGGGCTCAGAATTGACTAGACATTTAAGAGTCCACACAGGTGAGAGGCCATTTGTTTGCAACACCTGTGGGAAAGGATTCAAGCAGAAGTCAGAATTGGCCATTCATTTAAGAGTCCACACAAGTGAGAGGCCATTTGTATGCCACACCTGTGGGAAAGATTTCAAGCAGAAGTCAGATTTGGCCATTCATTTAAGAGTCCACACAGGTGAGAGGCCATATTCTTGCAGTAACTGTGAGAAAAGCTTCCGTACAGCATCACTTTTGAAAAAACATAAAAGAATTCATACAGGTTAAAAGTTGTTCTTGCAAAACGTGGGGGAGCTTTCAGACGTAGTGCTGATATTCCATAAAATGAAAGATTCATCCTGAGTTACTAACAGATTTCATGTTAGGGTTGGACGAGAATTTCTGTAGGCCTCTTAAGCGGAGCAGATGCTGTGCGACTTTTATTGATCGTATACGATGTGTTAACAATGAGGGTGTGAATTTGGTTTTCCCCACGGGGGTTCTTTAAGTGTAAAAAAAAAAAAAAAATTGAGGAACTTGAAAATAAATTAAAGGGAAAGAAGGAGGCATTATATAAGACAAAGAAAATATCGCTGAAGGAACTTAAAGATGTAGAAAATCATAGAATGTGTTTGAACATGTGGAGGAATGAAGCAGAAAGTAGGTTTAGAGAGAGAATGTTCAAGGAAATGTCAAAATCAGGAAAGCATAAAGGATGTCTTGTCAATAAAAAAAGAAAACAGTAATCTGCCGCTCAGTTCTCTGTATCTGCAGTGTACGGCTCTGAAGCTGGACCCCCACCTTGACGCCTGCCCACCACCTGCACCACCACGGCCCAGACAGTCTGTCACGCACAAACTTCAGGACAGACCTGACGTCAAACCCCAATCATACGACCCACCGGTCTCTCTGGGCCTTCTGTCGCGGCAGACAACGTGCAGTGGTACTGCGTATGACATGAGTGCAGCCACTGGCCCATCTTCCAATGCTGAACTATCATTACCCATGGTTGAAGTGTCTGGCCCTACTGGTCCCATCCTTGTGTTCTGAACATGGACCACTGATGATATTACTGCTGCAGCACAGCATCTTTCAGACCCAACAGCATCTGGACAGAAATTTGCAGAACAGTTCTCCATTTTCTGCACTGAATTTCGTCCCACCATGACTGAACTGAAATGCCTGTTAGTAACAACAATGAAACCTGTCGATCTCCAGCATGTGACACGTCGTTTCCTAGTAAATGACCTGCGTGTCTGCAACATTGACTGGAATCGCGCTGATAACGCCCCATACAGAGATGCTGTTCCAGCCTTGGGAGTTGTGTTTCGTGACCAGTTTCCCACTAAAGTGGACATGAGTAAAATCACGTCTTGCAGACAACAGGAAGGAGAATCGACAGAGGAGTATTTACACCACCTTACAGAGCTGTTTAACATTCATAGTGGCCTGGAACAACCAGCTGATTTGGCAATGCTCCTGGTGTGTGGGAAACACATCTTAGCAACTGCTTTCTAAATGGACTGAGACCTGAAATTGCAGCAGCAGCTAAGACACCATGTATGGGCTACACAGACGCCCATCTGAGTGAACTACGACGTCATGCCAGTCATGCCCAAGATCAGCTGCAGTAGAGACAGCGGGCCAAAGAAGATAAGGTCAAAGGAGCTACACATGGCAGCCATGACCATGTACCAAGCCGTCCAGGAACAATATGAGAGACTTCCAGAGAGGGGGATGTGCTCGTGAGTTGGAGAACGTTCACCAGTGCTCCTCAATATTTGACTGAAGGCAGGTTGGTGGTGGCGAAGGGGGAGGAGGGACAGTGGATGAGACCAACACTGTGCCTACAGATGAGACACAGCAGCTACAGATGAGTGATAACACACACACACTGCAATGAAGACCAGCTTGCTGATACTAACCCGCACATACTTATACAACACACCATTAAGGTATTAGAGAGCAAATTTGAGCCTCAGGGCACCTGTGTCAAATGTGAATCTGAAGCACATGAACAATTTCTTCAGTTCATATTCTTTATTCAGGGGCAGTTAGTTACATTCCTTGTTGATTCAGGAGCTACTTCCTCTCTGAGGGAAGATCATTTAAACATTGTTTTCTGCTCTGTTCACATTGTCCTGTCAGTCTCTTAGACAGAGATCTTATGTGTAAACTTAGAATCTAACTTTGTTCAACCTCTGATGGTATCACTGTTCACCATGACAGTGACTCACACACACACACACACTCATTTGTGCTTAATAGCCCTTGTGAGTTAATATATGTGTATGAGTGGAAATTGCAAAATGGTCCACTGACTTTTTCACTTGTTGCTGAAGCTAAACAACTGGTTGTTGATGAATATACTGATTTTATGGAACCTGGAGATTTGCACTGCACTTCTCACATTTATCACGGTGCTGACGAGCACTATGAACAGACATGGCTTAGAGTAAAAAAATAAAAATAAAAAAAAAACTGTGCACATTTGCTTTGTGCTGGAGTGATTACCTTTATTTTCTCACTGCCAGTCTCACAGCTTCA